TTCATTCCCGCCCTACTCTGGCAATTATTGTAAATGGATGGAAATGGACGATGTTAATGTAACGGTAAAAAACGTGAAATGCGATTATATATTGATGTTATAAAAGATTTTAGAGTTTTTGAGTCAAGGTTGATTTGATACTTCTTCTTGTGTCCCTTTTATTCCCGTTTGTATTGAATTAAGACCCCGCACAAATCCGATTTGCCCCGCAAATTGCTTTTGTATGGTTGGGGATGGTCTTAGAGATGTTTACCTTCGTAAAGGAAAACATCAAAAGAATCAATTTGTTGATAAAAATTTTTAAATTAAAATTTAATCTTATTAATAATTCAATTTGATTATTAATTTAAAAAAGAAATCCATTAATTAATAATTAAAATTTTTATTTTTGAAACATTTTAAGTTGGTATTAATTTGAAAAACACAACCTCGCCAAGTTCCGAGTTGTCAAAGATGACGTTTCGTAAAGTATCAAATTAAAAAATTTGTTTTTAAGATGTTTTATTAAGAAATTATGAATTAAAAAAACGTGGCGAAAAATTTGGATTGTTTTAAACAAAAAGTACGTAGATATTACCAATTCTTATTCATCTCTACATTTATTTTTTTTAAATTAATACTTTTTACTAAAAATTAGTAACTTTCATTTTCGATACGATTTAAGTTGGTATTAAATTAAAATTTGAAACGACCTCGCAAATTACGACTTGTCAAAACTGACAGACACGAAATTTTGATTTACAAAGAATTAAATTTAAAATTAATCTTTTTAATAACCTCGCTATTAATAAATCAAAAAAAAATTAGATTTCTTTTTCTACTTAAATAAAAAGCTTTACATCAAAATATTTTATTTTTGAAACATTTTAGGTTGGTATTGATTTGAAACACAACCTCACAAACTTCCGAGTTGTCAAAGATGACGTTTCGTAATTTGTCAAATTAAAACATATTTTTTTGTTTAAAATTTTGATTCAAATAAAGTTGTGGTGAGTTAATATTGATATCTTTTAGGAGAAATTGACTTGGAGATGTTTCCAATCACCATCGAGGATATGAGAGAGATTGAGTTGGAGTTGGAACCGGAAAAATAAAGGTGAGATGTTTTATTAAGAAATTATGTATTAAAAAAATGTGACGAAAAATTTGGATTGTTTTAAACAAAAAGTACGTAGATATTATCAATTCTTATTCATTTCTACATTTTTTTTTTTTTTAATTAATATTTTTTACTAAAAAATTAGTAATTTTCATTTTCGATATAATTTAAGTTGGTATTAAATTAAAATTTGAAACGACCTCGCAAATTACGACTTGTCAAAACTGACAGATACGAAATTTTGATTTACAAAGAATTAAATTTAAAATTAATCTTTTTAATAACTTCGCTATTAATAAATAAAAAAAAATTAGATTTCTTTTTCTACTTAAATAAAAAGCTTTACATCAAAATATTTTATTTTTGAAACATTTTAGATTGGTATTGATTTAAAACACAACCTCACCAAGTTCCGAGTTGTCAAAAATGACGTTTCGTGTTGTGTCAAATTAAAAAATATTTTTTTGTTTAAAATTTTGATTTAAATAAAGTTGTGGTGAGTTAATATTGATATCTTTTAGGAGAAATGGACGTGGAGATGTTTCCAATCGCCATCGAGGATATGAGAGATTGAGTTGGAATCGGAACCGGAAAAATAAAGGTAAGAAGTTTTATTAAGAAATTATAAATTAAAAAAATGTGACGAAAAATTTGGATTGTTTTAAACAAAAAGTACGTAGATATTATCAATTCTTATTCATCTCTACATTTATTTTTTTTAAATTAATCCTTTTTACTAAAAAATTAGTAATTTTAATTTTCGATATAATTTAAGTTGGTATTAAATTAAAATTTGAAACGACTTGTCAAAACTGACAGATACGAAATTGATTTACAAAGAATTAATTTAAATTTAAAATTAATCTTTTTAATAACCGCTATTAATAAATCAAAAAGAAATAGATTTATTTTTTTAGAATAGATTAATAACAAAAAAAAAACGTTTACACCAAAATAATTATTTTATTTTTAAAATATTTTAAGTTGGTATTGATTTGAAAAACACAACCTCACCAACTTCCGAGTTGTCAAAGATGACGTTTCGTAATGTGTCAAATTATAATTTCTTTTTGTTTAAAATTTTAATTTAAATAAAGTGGTGGTGAGTTAATATTGATTTCTTTTAGGAGAAATGGACTTGGAGATGTTTCTAATCAACATCGAGGATAATGGAGAGATTGAGTTGGAGCCGGAACCGGAAAAATAAAGGTAAGATTTTCTATTAACAAATTAATTGATGGAAAATTTATTTTTTTTTAAACAATTTGGTTCTTATTTATCTCTATATTAATTTTTTAAAGTTAATTCTTTACTAAAAATTAGTGACTTTAATTTTCGAAATGACTCAAGTTGGTATTAATTTAAGAATTAAAACTTAACCTCACTAAAAAATCACCACTTGACAAAAGTGATGAATATAAAATCTTAAATAATTTAAATTTAAGATTAAACTTTATAATAATCTCACTATTAACGCATTAAAAAGAAATAGTCTTAAAATAAATTAAACGTAAATATAAAAAAAAATTATTTTACTTTTGAAATATTTTAAGTTGGTATTGATTTGAAAAACACAACCTCACCAAGATCTGAGTTGTCAAAAGTGACACAACGCAATTGTGTCGAATTAAAAAATATTTTCCGGTTTCAAACTTTAATTTAAATGAACTGGCGGTGAGTTAATATTGATTTTGTGAGAAACGATGGAGGCGGAGATGTTTGCGATCACCATGGAGGATAAGATTGAGTGGGAGTTGGAACTTGATAAATAGAGGTAAGATGTTCTATTTAACGGAAAAGTTGGATTTATTTCAACAATTTTATGATTTGAAATGGTTATTTAGAAAAAGTTGTAGTGACACAGTACTTTATTCATACGGGATTGCGCAAGTGGTACTACTTGAATTGAATTGTATGGTTAAAGTTAAATACCACACATCCGGTTTTGGTAAAAATGATCTTTTATATATAAAGCTCGTGTTAATCTCGGCTATTAGGATAATGACGCCCCTACACAGCACTTCAATTGAATTACCAGCCATGAATTGAGATCGTCAGAACCGTTGTCGGAATTAATCATTACTGGCGCATGCTCAAATTTCATCAATATGACATTAATGCAATGGGCAACAATATTGTATACTGAAAGAAAGGTCTAAACAAAGTCCAAAGTGCAAAAATAAGTCTAAAATGTTTGGAGTGAAACTGGTCAGGTTTCTTTGACATCAACTTGGACACTTTCCGAGGTTGGGCAACTTTATAAAGCCGAGATCGCTTGACAGAAAATAGAAAAAGTTGATTGGTGAGTGTCAAAATGAGTCAAATCGATTCAAAACATTCTCAGATTATTTTATAAAGACGAAAGGACTTGGAATAATTAAAGTGGGTGATTTGCAGAAACTTTAAGAAAATTTGAATATCGGAAAAGCTGATTGGTGTCAAATAAAATTGATCTAATTGATTAAAAACATCTTTAGGATACTTAATCAAAGTCACAAAATTAAAAAAAAATGATTTTGGCGTTTCTTAAAGTGTTTCAATGATGCCAAAAAATAGAAAATGTTGATTGGTGAGTGTCAAAATGACTCAAATCGATTCAAAACATTCTTAGATTATTTTATAAAGACGAAAGGACTTCATATAATTAAGATAGGTGTTTCCCAGAAATTTCCAAAAAAATTTGAATATTGGAAAAGCTGATTGGTGCCAATCAATATGGATCTAATCAATTAAAAATATCTTTAGGATGCTTAAACAAAGTCACGAAATAAAAAAAAGTTATTTTGACGTTTTTTAAAGTGTTTCAATGATGTCAAAAAATTGAAAAACATTCTCAGATTACTCTATAAAGCCGAAAGGACTTGGAATAATTAAAATTTTTTCAATCAATTGATTGGTGTCAATCAAAACACATTTAATTTGTTAAAAACATCTCTCAGATACATAAAAAATTGATTGGACGTTTTTGAAAGTGTTTCAAAGGTGTCAAAAAAGTAAAAAAACTTTATATTGAGTGTCAAAATGATTCAAATCGATTCAAAACATTCTCAGATTCTCTATATAGCTGAAGGGAATTAAAATCGATTGAAAAAACTGATTGGTGTCAACCAAAATAGTTCTAATTGGTAAAAAACATCTTCCAGATACATAAAAAAATTGATTTGATGTCTTTGAAAGTGTTCCAATGATGTCAAAAAAGTAATAAAGCTTTATACTGAGTGTCAAAATGATTCAAATCGATTCAAAACATTCTCAGATTACTCTATATAGCCGAAAGGAATTAAAATCGATTCAAAAAACTGATTGGTGTCAACCAAAATAGTTCTAATTGGTAAAAAACATCTCCCAGATACATAAAAGAATTGATTTGATGTCTTTGAAAGTGTTCCAATGATGTCAAAAAGGTAATAAAGCTTTATACTGAGTGTCAAAATGATTCAAATCGATTCAAAACATTCTGAGATTACTCTATATAGCCGAAAAGAATTAAAATCGGTTGAAAAAACTGATTGGTGTCAAATAAAATAGTTCTAATTGGTAAAAAACATCTCCCAGATACATAACAGAATTGATTTGATGTCTTTGAAAGTGTTCCAATGATGTCAAAAAAGTAAAAAAGCTTTATAATGGGTGTCAGAATGATTCAAATCGATTCAAAACATTCTCAGATTACTCTATATAGCCGAAAGGAATTAAAATCGATTGAAAAAACTGATTGGTGTCAACCAAAATAGTTCCAATTGGTAAAAAACATCTCCCAGATACATAAAAGAATTGATTTAACGTTTTTGAAACTGTTTGAAAGATGTCAAAAAAGTGAAATGAGTGTCAAAATGACTCAAATCGATTTAAAACGTTCTTAGATCACATTATATTGACAAAAGAAGTTGTTTAAACTAACCTTTTATTTGCGTATCCAGTTCATTTTCGACGACGACGCCAAGCACACCGATATTTTCGTTTAACGTCTTTAATTAATTAAGAAAATTAACACTTTTCCCCTTCCTTTCGATTAATTTAAATCGAAAAACAACTTTCGATTTCACTTAAAAGTTTTTTCTTATTATTTCACTTTGTGTCCACAAAATCTTGCGAGTCTGGAACAAAAATGAAATTAATTTGTTTTTATTTTTTATTCAAAATGTGAATTTGAGAGTATTGAGATAAAGAAGGGGGCAAATTGAGTTGAGTACGAGTAGTCTTGTTGAAGTTTTAAAAGAACTTGAAGTGGATGTCTTCGTGTAAGCTCATTAATGGATAGGGTGTCTTAAAATTCTTCTCACACGATCTATCCACTACGCCTTTAAAGGACCCTTTTTGTCGATCTCTTTGCAATTATAAATTTAAAAATAAATCTCGAACGTTGTAGTTTGAGTTAAAACTTTTTAAGCTCCCCGAAAAAGTTACAAATTTATTATAACTTCATATCGTACCTTAAGCTAATAAATTAACATAGTTTAATTTTTAATCGAATTAGTTTCGAAATGACTCATCCAAAAGCGCGGCCTAAATGTTTTAAACTAACGAGTTCGTGTATCATTTAATCTAATTAAATTTTATTCTCTTTTTGACTCGTTTTTAACCCAATTATTCGCAATTAAATAAATTAACTTCGCTCATTTAGCATTTTTTTTTATTTTGTACGGTTAAAAAATCGATTTGGATTAAATTCATCATCCATGTAGGATTTATCATTTATTTTTTAGGAGAGCTTTTGTTGTAATCAATTTTGCGCTATCTCCGTTATCGCAAATCGAACGAATCGCGCTTCGCAAAAAAAGCTTCGGTAGCAAAAACAACGTTATCTAGATGAATCATCATTTTCTTTGAAAAAGAAATTTGTTTAACTCACCTTTTTGATTTTTATTAATTTGATTTCGATTATTATTAATAATTTTTGGTCAAATCGCGATATATATTAATTTGGAAGCACGCCGAAAATGAAATTTTCGTTTAAATCGAAAAACGCCCGTTGTTAGAACCGGTTTATCCGGTTTTCGGTAACCGGTTTTCGTCCCCCCTTTTTCGGACGCGGTTCGCAGCCGTACTGATGATATCTCGACCGCGGGTTCCGCAGCTGAAGTTTGGGGCTGCGTAGAAACCGTCGCGAACCGTCGGGAAACGCGACGCTTTCCACCAGGAATTTTCCCACTCCCTATGTTCCATCTCGTAACCGCCGCCCCCACTCCACATTTTCAACCCGGAAAATTCCATCCGTCTCCTTCTATTTCGATGTTATCCTTTTTTTACGATTGTGCCGTTCAAAAAAGGAGTTCGCGAAAAGTTGGATTGCTTTTAAATTCAAATTTCCTTTAATTTGATACCAAACTCGACGCATTTCGGTTAAAGTTGTAATAAAAAGATAATAATCCGCCATTTTTTGATAATAACTCGAGTAAAACTATTATCTCTACGAATAACACATCGAGTTTGGACTGTTTTTAAAGAAAATTTAATTTCGCATCGATTAAAACCAATTTTGAGCTCATCTCGATTATTATTATTATCATTGTTATTACCATTTTGAAAAAAAAATCAAATTAATTTAATCTTTTCATTTTTGTTCATTTCATAACAAATTCGACGCATTTTTTGATGAAAATAAACAAAGTTATTATTTTTATTACCTTTTTTTGGCAACTTAAAATTTTTTTATTATTTCTTCAAGTATGAATCGATAAGATTTTAAATTTCTTTTAATTTGATACCAAACTCGACGTATTTCGGTTAAAGTTGTAATAAAAAAAAATAATAATCCGCCATTTTTTGATAATAATTCGATAAAAAAGATTGATATCTTAACGAATAAATAAGGTAACACATCGAGTTTAGAGTCTTTTTTAAAGAAAATTCATTTTTACATCGATTAAAACCGATGTTGTGCTCATCTCGATTATTATTATTATCATTGTTATTACCATTTTGAAAAAAAATCTAATTATGTAATTTACTCTTTTCATTTTTGTTCTTTTCATAACAAATTCGACGCGTTTTTTGATAAAAATTAACAAAGTTATTATTTTTATTACCTTTTTTTGACAACTTAAAAACTTCTTTTTTATTATGTCAATAATGAATCGATAAGATTTGAAATTTCCTTTAATTTGATACCAAACTCGACGCATTTCGGTTAAAGTTGTAATAAAAAAATAATAAGCTGCCATTTTTTGATAATAACTTAATTAAAACATTGATATCTCAAGGAATAAACGAGATAATACATCGAATTTAGACTGTTTTTAAAGAAAATTCATTTTTACATCGATTAAAACCGATGTTGTACTCATCTCGATTATTATTATTATCATTGTTATTACCATTTTGAAAAAAAATCTAATTATGTAATTTACTCTTTTCATTTTTGTTCTTTTCATAACAAATTCGACGCGTTTTTTGATAAAAATTAACAAAGTTATTATTTTTATTACCTTTTTTTGACAACTTAAAAACTTCTTTTTTATTATGTCAATAATGAATCGATAAGATTTGAAATTTCCTATAATTTGATACCAAACTCGACGCATTTCGGTTAAAGTTGTAATAAAAAGATAATAATCCGCCATTTTTTGATAATAACTTAATTAAAACATTGATATCTCAAGGAATAAACGAGATAATACATCGAATTTAGACTGTTTTTAAAGAAAATTCATTTTTACATCGATTAAAACCGATGTTGTACTCATCTCGATTATTATTATTATCATTGTTATTACCATTTTGAAAAAAAATCTAATTATGTAATTTACTCTTTTCATTTTTGTTCTTTTCATAACAAATTCGACGCGTTTTTTGATAAAAATTAACAAAGTTATTATTTTTATTACCTTTTTTTGACAACTTAAAAACTTCTTTTTTATTATGTCAATAATGAATCGATAAGATTTGAAATTTCCTATAATTTGATACCAAACTCGACGCATTTCGGTTAAAGTTGTAATAAAAAGATAATAATCCGCCATTTTTTGATAATAACTTAATTAAAACATTGATATCTCAAGGAATAAACGAGATAATACATCGAATTTAGACTGTTTTTAAAGAAAATTCATTTTTACATCGATTAAAACCGATGTTGTGCTCATCTCGATTATTATTATTATCATTGTTATTACCATTTTGAAAAAAAATCTAATTATGTAATTTACTCTTTTCATTTTTGTTCTTTTCATAACAAATTCGACGCGTTTTTTGATAAAAATTAACAAAGTTATTATTTTTATTACCTTTTTTTGACAACTTAAAATTTTTTTTTTATTATGTCAGTTATGAATCGATGAGATTTAAAATTTCCTTTAATTTGATACCAAACTCGACGCGTTTCGATTAAAATCCGTTAAAGTTGTAATAAAAAAAAATAATAATCCGCCATTTTTGATAATAACTCGATTAAAACGATTGATATCTCAACAAATAAGCGAGATAAACACATCGAGTTTGGACTCTTTTTAAAGGAAATTCAATTTCGCATCGATTAAAACCAATTTTGAGCTCATCTCGATTATTATTATTATCATTGTTATTACCTTTTTGAAAAAGAAATCAAATTAATTTAATCTTTTCATTTTTGTTCATTATAACAAATTCGATGTGTTTTTTGAAAAAAAATAACAAAGTTATTATTTTTATTACCTTTTTTTGACAACTTAAAATTTTTTTTTTATTATGTCAGTTATGAATCGATGAGATTTGAAATTTCCTTTAATTTGATACCAAACTCGACGCGTTTCGATTAAAATCCGTTAAAGTTGTAATAAAAAAAAAATAATAATCCGCCATTTTTTGATAATAACTCGATTAAAACGATTGATATCTCAACAAATAAGCGAGATAAACATATCGAGTTTGGACTCTTTTTAAAGGAAATTCAATTTCGCATCGACTAAAACCAATTTTGTGCCCATCTCGATTATTATTACCATTTTGAAAAAGAAAATCAAGTTAATTTAATCGATTTCGTTGCGAAATGAAGTTTTCGTAGGTTTCATATCAAACTCGACGCGTTTTTGATGAAAATTATCAAAGTTATTATTTTTATTACCTTTTTATGTCAACTTGAGAACAATTTTTTTTTTATTACTTTAAATATGAATCGATAAGATTTTAAATTTTCTTCAATTTGGACCAAACTCGATTAACAACCATTCAAGTTATAATAAAAAAGATAATAATCCGCCATTTTGGATAATAACTCAATAAAAACAATTGATATCTCAACAACTAAACGAGATAAACACATCGAGTTTGGACTCTTTTTAAAGGAAATTCAATTTCGCATCGATTAAAACCAATTTTGAGCCTATCTCGATTATTATTATTATTATCATCGTTATTACCATTTCGAAAAAAAAATCAAATGCATTTAATCTTTTTATTTTTTGTTCATTTTATAACAAATTCGACGCGTTTTTTGAAAAAATATTAACAAAGTTATTATTTTTATTACCTTTTTTTGACAACTTAAAAAATTTTTTTTTATTTCTTCAAGTATGAATCGATAAGATTTGAAATTTCCTTCAATTTGATACCAAACTCGATATGTTTCGATTAAAAACCGTAAAAGTTGTAATAAAAAAATAATAATCCGCCATTTTTGATAACAACTCGATTAAATTAATTGATATCTGAACGAATAAATAAGATAAACACACAAAGGAAATTCAATTCCGCATCGATTAAAAACAATTTTGAGCTCATCTCGATTATTATTATTATTATCATTGTTATTACCATTTAAAAAAAAATCAAATTCATTTAATCTTTTTATTTTTGTTCATTTCATACCAAATTCGACGCATTTTTTGATAAAAATAAACAAATTTATTATTTTTATTACCTTTTTTTGACAACTTAAAATTTTTTTTTTATTATGTCAGTTATGAATCGATGAGATTTGAAATTTCCTTCAATTTGATACCAATCTCGATGCATCGATTAAAACCGATTTTGTGCTCATCTCGATTATTATTATTATCATTGTTATTACCATTTTGAAAAAAATCTAATTATGTAATTTACTCTTTTCATTTTTGTTCTTTTCATAACAAATTCGACGCGTTTTTTGATAAAAATTAACAAAGTTATTATTTTTATTACCTTTTTTTGACAACTTAAAAACTTCTTTTTTATTATGTCAATAATGAATCGATAAGATTTGAAATTTCCTTTAATTTGATACCAAACTCGACGCATTTCGGTTAAAGTTGTAATAAAAAGATAATAATCCGCCATTTTTTGATAATAACTTAATTAAAACATTGATATCTCAAGGAATAAACGAGATAATACATCGAATTTAGACTGTTTTTAAAGAAAATTCATTTTTACATCGATTAAAACCGATTTTGTGCTCATCTCGATTATTATTATTATCATTGTTATTACCATTTTGAAAAAAAATCTGATTATGTAATTTACTCTTTTCATTTTTGTTCGTTTCATAACAAATACGACGCGTTTTTTGATAAAAATTAACAAAGTTATTATTTTTATTACCTTTTTTTGACAACTTAAATTTTTTTTTTATTATGTGTGTTATGAATCGATGAGATTTGAAATTTCCTTTAATTTGATACCAAACTCGACGCATTTCGGCTAAAAAATATTAAAGTTGTAATAAAAAAATAATAAGCAGCCATTTTTTGATAATAACTTAATTAAAACATTGATATCGCAAGGAATAAACGAGATAAAACATCGAATTTAGACTGTTTTTAAAGAAAATTCATTTTTACATCGATTAAACCCGATTTTGTGCTCACCTCGATTATTATTATTATCATTGTTATTACCATTTTGAAAAAAATTTAATTATGTAATTTAATCTTTTCATTTTTGTTCGTTTCATAACAAATTCGATGCTTTTTTTGATAAAAAAAAATAAAGTTACTATTTTTATTACCTTTTTTTGACAACTTAAAATTTTTTTTTTATTTTTTCAAGTATGAATCGATAAGATTTTAAATTTCATTTAATTTGATACCAAACTCGATGTGTTTCGATTAAAATCCGTTAAAATTGTAATTAAAAAAAATAATAATCCGCCATTTTTGATAATAACTCGATTGAAACGATTGATATCTCAACAAATAAGCGGGATAAACACATCGAGTTTGGACTCTTTTTAAAGGAAAGTCAATTTCGCATTAATTAAAACCAACTTTGAACTCATCTCCATTATTATTATTATTATCATTGTTATTACCATTTTGAAAAAGAAATCAAATTCATTTAATCTTTTCATTTTTGTTCATTTCATAACATTCGACTCATTTTTTGATAAAAATAAACAAAGTTATTATTTTTATTACCTCTTTTTGACAACTTAAAATTTTTTTTTATTTCTTCATGTATGAATCGATAAGATTTGAAGTTTCCTTTAATTTGATACCAAATTCGACGTGTTTCGATTAAAATCCGTTAAAGTTGTAATAAAAAAAAAATAATCCGCCATTTTTGATAATAACTCGATTAAAACGATTGATATCTCAACAAATAAGCGAGATAAACACATCGAGTTTGGACTCTTTTTAAAGGAAATTCAATTTCGCATCGATTAAAACCAATTTTGAGCCTATCTCGATTATTATTATTATTATCATCGTTATTACCATTTCGAAAAAAAAATCAAATGCATTTAATCTTTTTATTTTTTGTTCATTTTATAACAAATTCGACGCGTTTTTTGAAAAAATATTAACAAAGTTATTATTTTTATTACCTTTTTTTGACAACTTAAAATTTTTTTTTATTATGTGTGTTATGAATCGATGAGATTTGAAATTTCCTTTAATTTGATACCAAACTCGACGCATTTCGGCTAAAAAATATTAAAGTTGTAATAAAAAAATAATAAGCAGCCATTTTTTGATAATAACTTAATTAAAACATTGATATCTCAAGGAATAAACGAGATAATACATCGAATTTAGACTGTTTTTAAAGAAAATTCATTTTTACATCGATTAAAACCGATGTTGTGCTCATCTCGATTATTATTATTATCATTGTTATTACCATTTTGAAAAAAAATCTAATTATGTAATTTACTCTTTTCATTTTTGTTCGTTTTATAACAAATTCGACGCGTTTTTTGATAAAAATTAACAAAGTTATTATTTTTATTACCTTTTTTTGACAACTTAAAAACTTCTTTTTTATTATTGTCAATAATAAATCGATAAGATTTGAAATTTCCTTTAATTTGATACCAAACTCGACGCATTTCGGTTAAAGTTGTAATAAAAAAATAATAAGCTGCCATTTTTTGATAATAACTTAATTAAAACATTGATATCTCAAGGAATAAACGAGATAATACATCGAATTTAGACTGTTTTTAAAGACAATTCATTTTTACATCGATTAAAACCGATTTTGTGCTCATCTCGATTATTATTATTATCATTGTTATTACCATTTTGAAAAAAATCTGATTATGTAATTTACTCTTTTCATTTTTGTTCGTTTCATAACGAATTCGACGCATTTTTTGATAAAAATTAACAAAGTTATTATTTTTATTACCTTTTTTTGACAATTTAAATTTTTTTTATTATGTCAGTTATGAATCGATGAGATTTGAAATTTCCTTTAATTTGATACCAAACTCGACGCATTTCGGCTAAAAAACGTTAAAGTTGTAATAAAAAAATAATAAGCAGCCATTTTTTGATAATAACTTAATTAAAACATTGATATCTCAAGGAATAAACAAGATAATACATCGAATTTAAACCCTTTTTAAAGAAAATTCATTTTTACATCGATTAAAACCGATGTTGTGCTATCTCGATTATTATTATTATCATTGTTATTACCATTTTGAAAAAAAATCTAATTATGTAATTTAATCTTTTCATTTTTGTTCGTTTCATAACAAATTCGACGCGTGTTTTGATAAAAATTAACAAAGTTATTATTTTTATTACCTTTTTTTGACAACTTAAATTTTTTTTTTATTATGTCAGTTATGAATCGATGAGATTTGAAATTTCCTTTAATTTGATACCAACCTCGACGCGTTTCGATTAAAATCCGTTAAAGTTGTAATAAAAAAAATAATCCGCCATTTTTGATAATAACTCGATTAAAACGATTGATATCTCAACAAATAAGCGAGATAAACACATCGAGTTTGGACTCTTTTTAAAGGAAATTCAATTTCGCATCGATTAAAACCAATTTTGAGCTCATCTCGATTATTATTATTATTATTATCATTGTTATTACCATTTAAAAAAAATCAAATTCATTTAATCTTTTCATTTTTGTTCATTTCATAACAAATTCGACGCATTTTTTCATAAAAATAAACAAAGTTATTATTTTTATTACCTTTTTTTGATAACTTAAAATTTTTTTTTTATTATGTCAGTTATGAATCGATGAGATTTAAAATTTCCTTTAATTTGATACCAAACTCGACGCGTTTCGATTAAAATCCGTTAAAGTTGTAATAAAAAAAACTAATAATCCGCCATTTTTGATAATAACTCGATTAAAACGATTGATATCTCAACAAATAAGCGAGATAAACATATCGAGTTTGGACTCTTTTTAAAGGAAATTCAATTTCGCATCGACTAAAACCAATTTTGTGCCCATCTCGATTATTATTACCATTTTGAAAAAGAAAATCAAGTTAATTTAATCGATTTCGTTGCGAAATGAAGTTTTCGTAGGTTTCATATCAAACTCGACGCGTTTTTGATGAAAATTATCAAAGTTATTATTTTTATTACCTTTTTATGTCAACTTGAGAACAATTTTTTTTTTATTACTTTAAATATGAATCGATAAGATTTTAAATTTTCTTCAATTTGGACCAAACTCGATTAACAACCATTCAAGTTATAATAAAAAAGATAATAATCCGCCATTTTGGATAATAACTCAATAAAAACAATTGATATCTCAACAACTAAACGAGATAAACACATCGAGTTTGCACTCTTTTTAAAGGAAATTCAATTTCGCATCGATTCAAACCAATCCTGTACTTATTTAATTAATTTTTTGAGCTCGACTTATTTTAATTATTATTTTCCTTTGTGGGGGAATGCATTATATGGGTATCAGACACCCTCTTCTGTGTGGGATTCAAACCCACAGCGAAGCCTTAGGTAACATAACTATCATGAGTATTACCAAGGATGTTCAAAGGGCTCAATGGGATCTGAGTANGAAAATAAACAAAGTTATTATTTTTATTACCTTTTTTTGACAACTTAAAATTTTTTTTTTATTATGTCAGTTATGAATCGATGAGATTTAAAATTTCCTTTAATTTGATACCAAACTCGACGCGTTTCGATTAAAATCCGTTAAAGTTGTAATAAAAAAAACTAATAATCCGCCATTTTTGATAATAACTCGATTAAAACGATTGATATCTCACCAAATAAACGAGATAGACACACCGAGTTTGGACTCTTTTTAAAGGAAATTCAATTTCGCATCGATTAAAACCAATTTTGTGCTCATCTCGATTATTATTATCATTGTTATTATCATTTTGAAAAAAAAATCAAGTCAATTAAATCGATTTCGTTGCGAAATAAGATCTTTCTTCATTTCATAGCAAACTCGACGCGTTTTTGATGAAAATTATTTTTCAAAGTTATTATTTTTATTACCTTTTTATAATATATTAAAAAAAAATTTTTTTTTTTACTTGATATGAATTGATTAATTTGAAATTTTATACAATTTGATACCAAACTCGATTAACAGTCATTCAAGTTATAATAAAAAAGATAATAATCCGCCATTTTGGATAATAACTCAATAAAAACAATTGATATCTCAACAACTAAACGAGATAAACACATCGAGTTTGCACTCTTTTTAAAGGAAATTCAATTTCGCATCGATTCAAACCAATCCTGTACTTATTTAATTAATTTTTTGAGCTCGACTTATTTTAATTATTATTTTCCTTTGTGGGGGAATGCATTATATGGGTATCAGACACCCTCTTCTGTGTGGGATTCAAACCCACAGCGAAGCCTTAGGTAACATAACTATCATGAGTATTACCAAGGATGTTCAAAGGGCTCAATGGGATCTGAGTATCTATGGATAGATTACAGAGATAGGATGAAGAAGATATAAAAACGCCCAAATTAAATTTTAATTTAATAGTATTAAGCTAAAAACATGGCAATTTGTTCATCAAACATCATTCACAGTCAGATCTTAAAAATAATCTCAACTTTTACATCATTAACATTAATTACATCTCATTTTAAGGCACTTAATCAGTTTTAATATCATCTTATTTTAACATAAAGCACAAACTTTCCACTTAATTTATTGTAAATAATTATTGCTCAATTTATTTATTTTTTTCGATATGTAACGTTTTAATAACCAGTCTTAAACAAACTTTTAACTTCTCAGCATCATTCTCTCCTAATTTTTTAAAGTGTACTCAAAACGTTAAGACACTCGCGACTCGTATAAGGAGGTGGAGCCTCTAATCTTTCAATTTCGGAGTACGAAGGTGGCTGATCGAACGCACTCCTTCCGCCTGGTTGTTGTAATAAATCGGTCATTTCTTGTCCGTTTTCAGCGTCGCCAGGAGATGCGTATCGAACGTTACTCAAAATCAATCGATTTCTACACGATCGGTTTAAAAATCCCGAAGAAAATGGGGGCGACGTTTCTTGAGCACCTCTTTCCGGCCGGATATCTTCGAAACTTGGCCCAAAACCTTGCTTATTCACCAACAGAAACATCTTCGACATCAAAATGAAGACCCCAACGAGGATTATTATCATCACGAAAATACCTAAAAAGCAAACTTGATGGACAAAAAAAATTGAAGTAAGTTTTTTTTTTTTTATTAGTTTTTTTTTTTAATTTTTAACTCACAGAATGCGATAAAAACGAAATCGGAGTGACGTTGTTTCGATTGGGTTATGTTGTGGGGAATGTAAGCAAATTCCGTTACTTCAATCGCTAAAAATAATTATTAATTTGTTAATTATTAACTAAATTAGTTAAAACAAAACTTACGGCAACAATACGGGCGGTACGTCACGTTACAATTTGCGTCTAAATTTCGATCGCAACACCAATATTTAGGAATACACCGATCATCACATTGAATTTTATCTAAAAATTTGGAAAAATTCAAGAATCATCATGTGGCAATGTAATAATAGGAAGTATCGGGTTAAACCGTGCGTTATAAAGACTAAAAATTAATATTTTTGATAATTAATGTCATATTTTGACGTTTGACACCTTTGTTAATTCTTAACCTAACAAATTTTCGCTTCTAACCTATTGCATCGTAAAGGAAATTAAAAATCCTTTAAAATGAGTCCAAACTCGACCTATTTACGATAATACAAAAATTACGTCAAAATAAAACAAAATGGCGGATTTTTTGTTGATTCCTAACCTAACTTTTTTGATTTTTATCGGAAATTAGTTGTGTTCGGTATCAAATTAAAGGGATTTTAATAAAGATTAAGAATTTAATGGAAAAAATAGACAATTTTTTTAATAAAAAAAAATTTAACAAAAAAAAATTGTTATTAATTATTTAATATTTCAAAATCGTTTCTAACCAATTGCATCGTAAAGGGAATTAAAAATCCTTTAAAATGAGTCCAAACTTGACCTATTTACGACAATATGAAAATTACGTCAAAATAAAACAAAATGGCGGATTTTCTATTGATTCCTAACCTAACTTTTTTGATTTTTATCGGAAGTTAGTTGTGTTCGGTATCAAATTAAAGGGATTTTAATAAAGATTAAGAATTTAATGGAAAAAATAGACAATTTTTTTAATAAAAAAAATTTGTTATTAATTATGTAATATTTTAAAATCGTTTCTAACCAATTGCATCGTAAAGGGAACTAAAAATCCTTTAAAATGAATCCAAACTCGACATATTTACGAAAATATTAAAATTACGTCAAGAAAAACAAAATGGCGGATTTTTGTTGAATTCTTAACCTAAGATTTTATCTTTTAACCTAAATAGGTCATGTTTGGGATCAAATTAAAAGATTTTTGTTTCTTATTGCGATTATTTCAACATTTATCATAAAATAATTAAATTCGATTTTGACATTTGACAGATTTTAACCTAACTTATTCATTTTTTAACCTAAATAGGTCGTGTTTGGTATTAAATTAAAACATATTTCTTGCTCATTAAGATTATAACAACATCTATGAAAAAATAATGAAATTCGATTTTGATATTTGACAGTTATTAACTTTTTCATTTTTTGATCCATACAGATCGTGTTTTAAATAGTCTTCAGCCAATAGTATTGTAATTTCCAAGTACTTAGCAGTGTTTTGGCAGCAGTATATAGTCTTCTGAAAGCATTAAATACTCTTTGCCAATAATATCTAGCTTTTTCCAAGCAATTAGTAGTCTTTCCAACAATATTTAGCATTCTGAAAGTAGTTAATAGTCTTTTGGAAACAGTATCTTGTCATTCCAAGCAGATAATAGTTTCTTATAGAAGCAGTATCTCTTTTTCAAGCAGATTGTAATCTTTTCCAGCTGTATCTAATATTTTGGAAGCAGTAGGTAGCTTTTTGGAAAGCATATCTCTTTTCCAAACAATTATTAAAGTCGTTGAAAGCAATAAGTAGTCTTGGAAGCATTATTCCAAGTAGGTCAAAACCTTTAACAGCAGTGTTTAGCTTTCTGGAAGCAATAGGTTTTATTTTTAAAACAGTATTAAGTCTTTTCCAAGTAAATTGTGGTCTTTTTATGCAATATCTAGCATTTTAGAAGCAGTAGGTAACTTTTTGAAATAGTATTTCCTCTTTCCAAGCAGCTTTTAGTCTTTGTACTTAGCAGTATTTAATCTTCTGATAGCAATAATTAACAGTATCTAGCATTCAGGAACCAATAAGTTAAAGAGGGGGGTAGATTTTAGGTTATCTTTAGTTTATAGATGGTAAACAACGACATTTTAATCGTTGTACGTCAAAAACCCGTATTTCACCCGAAACTATGCGTTTTAACCAAATGTGCTGCGAAAATACAGGGTTTTTAGAAGGTGATTAATCTTAATTATAAAATGTTGTACCATAAATAATCATTAATATTCAATATCTGTTGACAAAGATGTTGTAATTTAAAATAAAAAGAATTTTGATTTTGTTAAAGTTATTTTCTCGTTTTTAACATTTTTTCATTATCATATCTTCATGAAAAACACATTTGGCAACAATAAAACAAGATTTTAACATTAAATATTTTTCTAAACACCCTGTATATGGTGAAGATGGCCAATGACGTCACACAAAATGGCGTCACGTCAAAATTTCAAATTAAAGTGATTTTTTGGTAAGTTTTACACTTTTTCTCACTTTTTTTTTATTTCTAACATCTTATTTCAGTAATTTTCCATCGATTAAATAAAAAATTATCGATTTTTAAGCCACAAAATGATGATTCTTAAATTACACCATAAATTTAATAAAATCTTTTTACCTCTACAAGGATCGCCATCACATCTCTCATCACTCTCATCAGAACCATCTCTACAATCCTTTTTCCCATCGCAAACGTATCTCAAATTAATACAAACCCCTGTTGAAGCACATTGGAACAAACCGACACACAACGGATCGGGTCTTTCAATTTCATTAACCGATCGTGCGAAATCGTTCGAATTCGCAACGATATGAACGATTTTAACCAACCCATATTTGTAACTAACGCAAAAATACGCTCCTGCATCGTCAGATCTTAATGGATTGAACGTTTTAACCGCTTTATTTACGTCGCTTGTTCTAACGTAAACCACACGAAGCTTTAATAATTCTTCATTGAGCTCCTCTTGTTTTGTGAACGGCGGGACTCTCCCCCAAGTGATTTGATCGTCCATTATCGTGTTATCGGTGATATTGGTCCATAATTCGCAAGTTAAGGTTAAGTTTGAGCCCGATTTTGCTTGGACGTAATTTGAGGTTATTGGAGTGTAATTATCTTCGGTGTTACGGAATATTCGTAACACTTTATCACCTAATAATGGTTAAATTTGTTTTAATTGGGAAATAATTAATAAAATAATAACTAAGAAAAGTAACATAACCTAAAAATTGTGTTCTACGTACATTTTACGGCGTTTAGAATCAAAATATAGATCCAAATCGGTTTTATATGACGCATTTTTATGTTTTATCACAGACCCGGTTCAGATTAACATCTTTTTGTTCGTTTTATTTACTTGTATTTATTTTTATTTCGTTTTAGTTATATTTAGTTTTGTTTGGTTACGTTCGATTATTTTTAGTAACTTTTATTTTTTTCGCGTTTTCACTTGTTGGTGTGAATTTGGCGTAAAATCGCAATTTTATTTTTTTAATCTTTATTTAAGGGTTATTTATAAATAAAAAACGTAACTATAAATAAATAAAATCAATTTTAATAATAATAAAAATAATTAATAAATGAAATAGTTTTCTACTTTACCGACAATATAACGTACGTTATAAGCGTACAGATGGCGCTTCCTCCTACGCGTCTTTTTTAAGCGACATTTTTGACGTTTCATTAAAAAAGAATTTATTTAACTCATTTTGAGTTAGAAATAAAACTAAAACTAGAAATGTTGAGGTTTTTGACGCACGGCATAACCCTAAAATTTCTAGTTTTAGTTATATTTCTTATTCCATCGGCAGTAACGTTATGAAAAATGTCATTTGAAAAAGTGAGGTTGCGTAAGTTTGAATGGATATTTCGCATCTTGTGAGTTTATTTTTTGTGGCTGTTTTATGATATGAAAGAAAATCTTCGATCACGCACTGAGTGAGTAAAATATTTTTTTTTTTAATGAAACGTCAAAAAATATTGCTTGGAAAAGTGAGGTTGGGACGAACTTAAGATAGATAAACGAAAATAACATATTTCTCAGCACAGTTTTAAACTAACACGGCCGTTTTCGAAGACATCGGCCGCCCCCGAAAAGACGAAATGTTCATTTTCACAAATGCGAGTAAAGATCCAACTCAAGGTTTTCAATGTTTTAATGGCCGGGGGCGGCCGATGTCTTCGAAAACGGCCGTGTNATAACACGGCCGTTTTCGAAGATATCGGCCGCCCCCGAAAAGACGAAATGTGAGTAAAGATCCAACTCAAGGTTTTCAATGTTTTAATGGCCGGGGGCGGCCGATGTCTTCGAAAACGGCCGTTTTAGTTTAAAATTGTGCTAGAAAATGATGTTGAGGTTTTTTAATCACACTTTTCCAACAGAATCTAACCTCACTTTTTGAAATGACATTTTTTTGACGTTTCTATAATTGTTAAAAACTGTTCAGAAGGTGTCTACTGAAATCTATAGTCTTCAAACAGTGTCCAGAAGGTTTCTAACAATCACTACAGTAGTCAAAAATTATCTATAAGTTTTCTAAGTGTTCCTATAGTTGTTAAAAATTGTCCACAAGGTGTCTAATGATACCTAGAGTGATCAAAAAGTGTCGAGAAGGTATTTAATAATTTCTATAGTAGTCAAAAATTCTCCAGAAGCTTTCTAATTATTTCTATAGTCATTAAAAATTGTCCACAAGGTGTCTACTGATATCTATAGTCTTCAAAAAGTAACCAGAAGGTCTCTAATGACCTCTATGGTAGTCAAACATTACCCAGAAGCTTTCTAATTGTTCCTATAGTTGTTAAAAACTGTCCACAAGGTGTCTAATGATACCTAGAGTTATCAAAAATTGTACAGAAGGTATTTAATGATTCCTATAGTTAGTCAATGTAGCCTTCTTTTAAAGCATCCTTTAAAGAAATTTCTCCAATTTTTGCTTCCAAATTTGTATCGTCGTACGTAGGTAGTAGTCGTTGTTTTTAGCACATTTATCTTACTTTGGTTTTTAATATTTATTATTTCATCTGGTTCATTTTCTATCTCTAATTTATAAATTTTTCTTGGTCTACCTTTTTTACCAGTCTTTTCTAATTTAGGTCTGCCTCTTCCTCTTTTCAATTCAATTTCTTTTTCATACTTTTCATTTTGATTTAAGTATTTTCTATTTTTCCTTGATTCATATTTTCACTAACTGCGTTTTTTTTCCAAGTGACATTTTTTTTATGTTTAAAAACTCATTTTGTATTAAAAATAAAACTAAAACTAGAAATAAAAATAATTAAAATAATTAATAAACGAAATAGTTTTCTACTTTATCGGCATTATGTACTTTTTAGACTTTTCGCGACAGATGGCGCTATCTGTTATTCGTCTTTTTTAAGTGACATTTTTGACGTTTCATTAAAAAAAAATTAATGTAACTTCACTTTGCGTTAGAGATAAAACTAAAAGTAGAAATTTTGAGGTTATGCCGTGCGTCTTAAAATTTCTAGTTTTAGTTTTATTTCTTATTCCATCAGCAGAAAAGCTTACGAAAATGTTACTAAAATAATATTTTGTTTAAAAATTTTTAACTCAGCATTTATTTTATTTTATTGTTAAATTAATCTTTATTTAAGAATTATTTATAAATAAATAAAACCAATTTTAATGTTAATAACAATAAAAATAATTAAAATAAATAATAAATGAAATAGTTTTCTACTTTACCGACACCGAATACGTCAAATGTGTCAAAAATGTCAGATTGCGTGTTTTCTTTCGTCACTTTTAAAAAGATACTCGTTTTTAGGTTTTTCTTTGCGACATGGCGAAAATCGTGCTTGTTACCGGCGGAAGTGGGTTAGTAGGGAGTGCTATTAAACAAATCATCGAGAAAGAGAATCCAATCGATGAGAAATGGGTGTTTTTAAGTAGTAAAGATGGAGATTTATGGTAAGTCTTTACTTAAAAATCATTATTCTTAATTAATTTTAATTAATTAAAGCAATTATGAATCGACGAAGAAAATCTTCGAGAAATACAACCCAACCCACGTCGTTCATTTAGCTGCGATGGTCGGAGGATTATTCCACAACATGTCTCATAACTTAGATTTCTTTGTAAGTACAAAATTAATTAATTAATCCAAAATTTAATTTATTTTATTACTTTTTAGCGAAATAATCTTCACATGAATGATAATATTCTCCAAATTAGTTATGAATTTAAAGTGAAAAAGGTTGTTTGATCGGGTCTTTCAATTTCATTAACNTACCGAACCATCGACGAAATTGGATTGGTTCGAAACTCCGCTACCGAAAAAAGTATACCGGGTGTCTCAAACAAAAATTGAAACTTCGATTTTTCGGAGCGATATTTTTCATAAATCGATCTTTTATTTGAGACACCCGGTATAATTTTTTCATTAGCCGAGTTTCGAACCATCAATTATCTTATAAAGTGGCGCCATCTATTATTCACATACCGAACCATCGACGAAATTGGATTGGTTCGAAACTCCGCTACCGAAAAAAGTATACCGGGTGTCTCAAACAAAAATTGAAACTTCGATTTTTCGGAGCGATATTTTTCATAAATCGATCTTTTATTTGAGACACCCGGTATAATTTTTTCATTAGCCGAGTTTCGAACCATCAATTATCTTATAAAGTGGCGCCATCTATTATTCACATACCGAACCATCGACGAAATTGGATTGGTTCGAAACTCCGCTACCGAAAAAAGTATACCGGGTGTCTCAAACAAAAATTGAAACTTCGATTTTTCGGAGCGATATTTTTCATAAATCGATCTTTTATTTGAGACACCCGGTATAATTTTTTCATTAGCCGAGTTTCGAACCATCAATTATCTTATAAAGTGGCGCCATCTATTATTCACATACCGAACCATCGACGGAATTGGATTGGTTCGAAACTCCGCTACCGAAAAAAGTATACCGGGTGTCTCAAACAAAAATTGAAACTTTGATTTTTCGGAGCGATATTTTTCATAAATCGATCTTTTATTTGGGCCACCCGGTAAATTTTTTTCATTAGCCGAGTTTCGAACCATCAATTATTTTATAAAGTGGCGCCATCTATTATTCACATACGGAACTATCAGCAAAATTGGATTGGTTCGAAACTCGGCTAATGAAAAAATTATACCGGGTGATCCATACAAAAATTGAAAATCCGATTTTTCCGGACGATGTTTTTTAAAAACGACTTTTTTGTTTGGATCACCCGGTATAATTTTTTTATTAGCCGAGTTTCAAACCATCGTTTATTTCTAATGTGGCGCCATCTATTATTCAGTTATCGAACTACTAGTGGTACTTGATTGGTTCAAAACTCCGCTAACGAAAAAACTATACCGGGTGTTCCATGCAAAAATTGTAACTTCAATTTTTCGGAGCGATATTTTTCATAAATCGATCTTTTATTTGGGCCACCCGGTATAATTTTTTCATTAGCCGAGTTTCGAACCATTAATTATTTTGTAAAGTGGCGCCATCTATTATTCACATAGGGAACTATTGTTAGAACTGCATTGGTTTGAAACTCGACTAATGAAAAACTTATACCGGGTGGCTCAAACTAAAATTAAAAGTACGATTTTTCGAGACGACTATTTTTTAAATTGACTTTTTATTTGAACCGCCCGGTATAATATTTTCATTAGCGGAGTTTCGAACCATCAATTATTTTTTGAAGTGGCGCCATCTATTATTTGATTGTAGAACTAATCGAAATTAATTTTGAAATTGGGTTGGTTTGGAACTTGGCTAACGAAAATAATTATACCATCTCTTATTGAATAGCCGAACTAATGCTAACTAATACTGTTTTACCGGCTTGGTTTGAAACTGGGGTAAGGAAAAATTAAAACTAGCAAGTGCGAAATTCAAGTTTATATTTATTGCAGAAAAAAAAAAGCAGAATAGAACTGGAACTATTATTTTGTTTANTATTGAATAGCCGAACTAATGCCAATTAATACTGTTTTACCGGCTTGGTTTGAAACTGGGATAAGGAAAAATTAAAACTAGCAAGTGCGAAATTCAAGTTTATATTTATTGCAGAAAAAAAAAAGCAGAATAGAACTGGAACTATTATTTTGTTTATATTTATGGACATATGTCACAATATCGCTTGTAGTCTCTACAGCTGATCTTTCAACCATCACGTTCCCATGGATATCCATATAAGTGGGCACAATATCATTGCTGGATCCTATTTTTTGAATTCAAATGGATTAGATTAGTAAGAAATGTTGGGGAAAATTATGAACGTTGGACAATGTTGGGTAGATTGTGAAAGGTACGATTTGTTAATGTCTTTCAGGTAAAAAATGTTGGACTAGGTTATGAAGGCTGTGCAATTTGGGAAATATTTCAAAATTCAATTTGATAATAATTAACAAAATTTCTTCGTATATTCCGGTATCATAGCAACGCGATCACTTAATTTATCATAGCCTACTTATAAAATAATGTGTTTCTTTAAATTTCGAGGTTAATTATAAAGGTATAAGAGTATTATATATCATTGAAAAGCTTGAAAAAATTCTAGTTCAATAAAAAAATAAAATATAGGATTTCAAAAAAATCGAAGTTGTGTTTATAACTCAAAAACCGCGATAACTAGAAAAATTCTACGTGAAAAAATCTATTAGAGCCCGTTTTTACTTTTTTGCTAAGTTTCCGGATAGCCGAAATACAGGGGGAGTCCGAAAATCGTAAATTTTTAAACACAAAAATGAAGAGGGCTATGAAAACTTGGTTTGCGCAAACCCATCGAAATTTGGACACCTGTACACATTTCTACAGTACTCTTTCATCTCCACATCCGTGGCTCCTCGCCTCTCTCATCCATTTCTTTCCCAAAATCTGCCTCCAATCCATCGCCTCCTTCCTCAGCTCGCTAAACTTTTTTATCATGTGTTCCAGCGTCTCTCAATCCTCTCCATATCGCCCGTTTAGTACCTGTTCGCTCTCTCTTTATTGCCACAGCGGAGTCTGGCCATCAATTTCTTCCCTTCTATTAATAGATACTTAGACAGTTCCTCTGTCACTATCTCCCTGACTGATCTTCTCTCCTGTCTATGTATGTCCCGTTCCCTCAGTTCTCTCCACATGGGTCAGTTTTGTTTACAAAGGTCAACGACCTCTAGAATACAGTTACAAAACTCACTTCATAATAATAGAACAAAAACCCACAAAACACATCGTTTTTAAACATTACTTTTGATCAAATCATTTTCAAATCGAAGCAACAAATTATACGCGTTCTTAACGAACAAGATTTTTTAACCTTTAATTTGTCTCAAGAATTATTTCTTAACTTGGACGATTTTTTTTTAAATTCACCAATATTACTTGTTATACATATAGGTCCTTTTTCAACGTGCATCCTCTTCATTTCGTACCATGAAACCCTATAAAGTAGAGACTAAGGAATTTCGAGGATTTAGGATTATCTCGGCGTTACGTAGGGAGAGGAAACATCATTCTAAAAATAAAAAATGAATCGATGATAACTTAAAAATTAACTTATATATAATTACGTTTATTAATTAATGATTTAAGTCAGTTTTCCGATAAATACACACTTCTACTTGGTGATATGTCTGTCAAAATATATCCTTATTATTATCGTTTACAAGTCAAACTCACACAGCACACGGTCGATTTATATTATTATTACTACGGTTAATTTAATTCGCTTAAAATTAATTCATTTTTAACTTTATGTACAATTTCGAATTTTTAAATTAATTAGTAAAAAAATTAATCCCATTCATTTATTATTAATTCATTAATTAATTATTAAGTAGTAATAATAACAATTTTTTTTTTGATTTTCATTTTTAAAGTATTAAAAAAAAAATTAAAAACCTTTTCATTTCTTGGTCATTGATTCCTCATTTCTTTCTTTCCGTCGTTTAAACGAATATAAACGTCGTGTTTCCGGTGCAGTTCTTTTCCACGCACATTTTATCGCCTTCCGGTTGCGCTCTCAACCATTTTCCGTGGCAATGAGGCGCCGAAAACGCGGACCACCGCGTGATTCGTCCCGAAACTCCATGACCTTGACATCTCCATCCTAAAGATTTATGTAGAGCTTCCGATTCGCATTTAACACAAATCCTTTCACCTTCTTTGAGCGCGTTAAACGTTTCTTCTTTTCTACAAGCTTTTGAAGCTTTTAAAACTTCGAATTCAACGCAATATCTACAACAAAAAAGTAACATTTATATTATTATTATTATTAATTTTTGACAATTAAGAAATTGTACGATGACGTTTAGGGGGTTGTTATCGAAAAAAAAATCTTAGGTTGGTATTTTAAATTTCAAATATTTTTGACGTTTATAACTACATACCTAGTTTGACATTTCTTGTAACCTCAAAAATTTTTGACAATTAAAAAATTTTACGATGACGTTTAGGGGGTGTTATTACTAAAACGATTTTAAGTTGGTATTTTTTTCTATAACCTCAAAAATTTTTGACAATTACGAAATTGTACGATTATGTTGTATGTATTTCACTCAATTTACGTTAGAAATAAAACATTACATTTATTTCTCATTACATCGGCAGAAAAATGTACGAAAATTTTGCGATTAAAATAATTTTTCGTTTAAAAGTTTTCAACCCTGCCGTCACCTGCCGTTACCATGGTGATTTGTCAATAAGCACCGACATCTTTAAAATAAATCACTTGTTGCGTCAAGATAAAGTTTTATAATAATTATCGGAGTTATATTAATCAATTTTCGCATTAAATGAAGCTGAAAGGACCGTTTTTAAAGCAGAGTAAGTACATTCAATTTTTGTAACGAATTGCGCTCTAAAAATTCTATTGTTCATTTATCTCAACCTAACCTAACTTTTATTTAACTCATTTTGTGTTAGAAATAAAACTAAAACTAGAAATTTTGACTTTGACGCACGGGATAAATTATTATTATTATTAACTATAAATAAAATGAGCAATAAATTTTTTTTTAATGAAACGTCAAAAATATCACTTAAAAAAGACACATTAGAAGATAGCGCCATCTATACGCTTATAACGTAAATTATGTTGTCGGGTAAAGCAGAAAACTACTTCATTTATTATTTATTTTAATTATTTTTATTATTATTAAAATTGATTTTATTTATTTATAGTTACGTTTTTATTTATAAATAATCCTTAAAGACGAAAATAATTTTAGTACTTTTTTTTTTTTTCCACGGTGTGAAATTGACCTAAATTCGCAACTTCATTTAATTGTTAAATTAATCTTTATTCACTGATTATTTATAAATAAAATCTTAATTATAAATGAATAAAACCAATTTTAATTTTAATAACAATAAAAATAAATAATTATTAAATGAAATAGTTTTCTACATTACCGACACTAATACGTCAAAAATGTCAGATTCGTCACTTTTAAAAAGATACTCGAAAGTTTTTTTTTTAAAAGCTTTGTTAACCCTTTTTGTTTACTTTTTACGCGCAAAACAAAATTCATTCCAACCGAATTAAGCGACCTCGGCTTAATAATGAAAAGTCTTATATTCTTTGGTCATAGTATACCGTTGCCTCGGCCGCAAGCGATCTCGCCGATATTATTCTCTTAATATACTAGAAAATAAACTAAACGTACAACACATGAATAAGGAATAATAATGAATAATCGTGTATCTCTACTTTGTCGAAGTCGCTTGCGGCCGAGGCAGTGTTTATACAGGTCGTCCACGACGACCGTCCATTAGAATTTTACAGGGTTCTGGCCAAAATTAAAATTTGAAAATTCAGATTTAAGTATTATCAATTGCGTTCTCTTCGACTAAAATATTTTCAGATGTCTAACACTTCCGGTTATACCGGAAGTCGCGACCTACTTTATTTTTTTAAATGGCACACCCTGTATATTTTTACATATTTGGATTTGTCTGTTTTCAAGGTTTATGAATGACTTTACTTTTTGCAATTTGATTCGGCCGTTCTCGAGTTATTCGAATTTTTCTAGAAAAATCTGCTCCAGCAGGCATTTGTTCAAAAAATCAGAGAACACTCGATTTTTGGGATATCAATTTAAGATTCAACAGAAAAATGTCAACTACAACGTTACTTTTTATAATTTATAAATCATCTAGTTTGACCACCGTTGTGGTTATGTATTATCAGAGGATCAGTAAGGAAAACGTAAACAGTTTGATATTTACTAAAGCCATGGGTTTATTTCTGTTGGTGTAATGACTAGGTTACTTTTTGTAGTGATCTGTTCTCAAGAAATGCCACATTTGGAATTTAGTAATGAGGATTATTTGAATTTGATAATAATTTATGGAGAGTGCAACCAAATAATTGCGCATACGTGTCGGCTGCAACATACAAATGGCCTAAAATTGAACAAAAATTTCAAAAATTTAATGAAATACAGGGGTGTTCCATTTGAAATATGAAAATTCTCACCTCTTCCGGTGTAACCGCAAGTACCCGGAACCTGAAAATATTTTACTAAAAAGCTAGCATCAAACATCAGAAGTCTGCAAATTTTCAAAAGGCCACTTCATATGGTTATACACTACACTAGGTTAAATATCGATATGATATGTGTGCATTTTTCAAAAAACCCTAATTATCTTCCAAACTACAAATGTTAGGTATAGAACATATGGGATATAAAAGATGTAAAATGAGACACCCAAGACGCCTAAGTAATAAAATATGGGGGGTGCCATTTAAAAAAATGAAGTTATGGTATTTCCAAAAGGTTCACCCCTTGAAGTTTGTTGCAGTCATTCAGATACACCCTGTATAGAACCATTGCCTCGCCCGCAAGCGACCTCGGCTTAATAAAAAAAACACGCGCAACAATATTCAATAATTTGGTCACAGTATATAGAAGCACTGCCTCGGTCGCAACCGACCTCAGCTTAATGAGAAATTTTTAATAATTTGGTCACAATATAACAAATGCCTCGACTTAACATGAAAAACTTTAAATTCATTGGTTACAGTATATAGAACCATTGCCTCGTCCGCAAGCGACCTCGGCTTAATTATAAAAAATGTTAAATTCTTTAATCACTGTATATAAAACCATTGCCTCGCTCGCAAGCAACCTCGGATTATTTATGAAAAACATTAAATTCTTTAATCACAGTATATATAACTATTGCCTCGGTCGCAAGCGACCTTGGCTTAATAATGAAACATCTTCAATAATTTGGTAACAATGTAACCGTTGCCTCAGCCGCAAGCGACCTCAGTTTAATCATGAAAAACGTTAAATTCTTTATTCACAGTACATAAAATCGTTGCCTCGGCCGCAAACGATCTCAGCTTAATCATGAAAAACGTTAAATTTTTTAATCACAGTATATAGAAGCATTGCCTCGTCCGCAAGCGACCTCGGCTTAATGAGAAATTTTCAATAATTTGGTCACAATATAACAAATGCCTCGACTTAACATGAAAAACTTTAAATTCATTGGTTACAGTATATAAACCATTGCCTCGGCCGCAAGCGACCTCGGCTTAATTATAAAAAACCTTAAATTCTTTAATCACAGTATATAGAACTATTGCCTCGCTCGCAAGCGACCTCGGATTATTTATGAAGAACATTAAATTCTTTGATCACAGTACATATAACTATTGCCTCGGTCGCAAGCGACCTTGGCTTAATAATGAAAAATCTTCAATAATTTGGTAACAATGTAACCGTTGCCTCAGCCGCAAGTAAACTCAGTTTAATCATGAAAAACGTTAAATTCTTTAATCACAGTACATAGAACCGTTGCCTCGGCCGCAAACGATCTCAGCTTAACCATGAAAACCGTACAATTTTTTAATCACAGTATATAGAAGCATTGCCTCGTCCGCAAGCGACCTCGGCTTAATTATAAAAAATGTTAAATTCTTTAATCACAGTATATAAAACGATTGCCTCGCTCGCAAGCAACCTCGGATTATTTATGAAAAACATTAAATTCTTTAATCACAGTATATATAACTATTGCCTCGCCCGCAAGCGACCTCGGCTTAATAAGAAAAACACGCGTAACAATCTTCAATAATTTGGTCACAGTATATAGAAGCACTGCCTCGGTCGCAACCGACCTCGGCTTAATGAGAAATTTTTAATAATTTGGTCACAATATAACAAATGCCTCAACTTAACATGAAAAACTTTAAATTCATTGGTTACAGTATATAGAACCATTGCCTCGGCCGCAAGCGACCTCGGCTTAATTATAAAAAATGTTAAATTCTTTAATCACAGTATATAAAACCATTGCCTCGCTCGCAAGCTACCTCGGATTATTTATGAAAAACATTAAATTCTTTGATCACAGTATATATAACTATTGCCTCGGTCGCAAACGACCTCGGCTTAATAATAAAAAATCTTCAATAATTTGTTAACAATGTAACCGTTGCCTCAGCCGCAAGCGACCTCGTTTAATCATGAAAAACGTTAAATTTTTTAATCGCAGTATATAGGACCATTGCCTCGCCCGCAAGCGACCTCGGCTTAATAAGAAAAACACGCGTAACCATCTTCAATAATTTGGTCACAGTATATAGAACCATTGCCTCGGCCGCAAGCGACCTCGGCTTAATAAAAAAAACACGCGCAACAATTTTTAATAATTTGGTCACAGTATATAGAACCACTGCCTCGGCCGCAAGCGACCTCGGCTTAATGAGAAATTTTCAATAATTTGGTCACAGTATAATAAGTGCCTCGACTTAACATGAAAAACGTTAAATTCTTTTGTCATAGTATATAGAACCATTGCCTCGGCCGCAAGCGACCTCGGCTTAATAATGAGAAATATTCAATTCTATGGTAACAGTATAATTTCTAGTTTTAACTTTATTTCTTATTACATTGGCAAAAAAGTGTACGAAAATAATTTTAGTAACTTTTATTTTTTTTTTGTTTTCACCGGTGTGAAGTTAACTTAAAATCGCAAATTCATTTAATTGTTATTATTTATAAATAAAATTTTAATTATAAATAAATAAAATCAATTTTAATAACAATAAAAATAATTAAAATAAATAATTATTTAATGAAATAGTGTTCTACATTACCGACACTAATACGTCAAAGATGTCAAATTAGTCAATTTTTTTTTAAAAAAGCTTTGTTAACTCTTTTATTTACTTTTTACGCGCAAAACAAAATTAATTCCAACCTTAAAAGCTTTGTTATTACTAAAATTAAAAATTTTTTTACGATTATTATTCACATAAAAAACATTTTTTTAGTAAATCCAAGAGAATTTCGAAGATCTCCAAGACGACAAAACACGGAGAAGGTAGATTTTCTCTTCGGGGACCGCCATCAATTTAATATCCCGTCGAGTCGGGTTGTTCCATTGTGTATGGGGCCCGGAAGATGGGGAGGAAAGGGGGGCCGACATAAATTTCAATAAGATGAAGTATGCACGCGTCCCCGCGTTTGATAAATACCCCCAATTTCCCGGTTTTCGCAAGAAAGGAGACGAGGCAACAATGAGCAAAACCAAAAATTTCTTTTAGATGAAAAAGTATCGTTAAATTAGTTAGAAATAGAGCTACATATAAGCTTATCAAGATCGGTTTCGTTCCCCGCTTCAATATTGTTGCCTTTAACGAGTTCCGATATGAAGTTATATCGACCTCTTGTGCTTCCGAAACGTTATTCCACTTCAAATTTCCCCTTTCGCTAAAGCAAAATGGCAATTTACTGTTTTCCCCCAAAGGAGGGTTCAAATAAATAGAAATCGAGGTTTTAATTATGATTTTCTAAGTTTATTTTTAATAACACTTTATTTATTTTTATGCCTCACACAAAAAGTGGACCCTTTTATAATCGTGTTAAAAGCGGTCACTTTTCTCACTTCGTCGACCTTTTAAATTAAACGCCCTCGTCAAAGAGGGAGTTTAACAAAGGGGAAAATTGACCATAAAAAAATTTTTTACCTTAAACCATTTTTTTTTTGTTAAAATCGTTAAGAAAATTTTATTACGATCATTTTGATATCAAACACGACTATGTTACGATTAAAAATGATAAAGTTATGCTAACTGAGGCGAAATAACTATGCTGAGGCAATGCTTTTAGTACTCAAACAGAAATAAAAATGAATAATTTCTTGAATAGAGGCTGATTAAATGATTGATGAGATGTTAAATGTAGAGAATTTAGTGTAAATCCGTTATTTAATATATGAGGCAAGTAAGTATCGAGGCAATTATTCAAATACTTCAACAATAACACCTTTAACCTTAACTAAATTGCTGTTGAAGTGGTAAAAGGAGCAGAGTTCAATAAAAATATCATTTTCATAAACCGCTTATACAGCTTATACATTCGCTACTTTACGGACGCGCTGTATAATACTTAATAATGAGATATCTTCAATAATTTGTACTCACTCAGTGCGTCCACGAAGATTTTCTTTCATATTAGCGATCCATAAGAAGCGATCTCGCTTGAAACAGCCACAAAAAGTAATTCGGCCAACGTTTTCGAAGTACTTTTTTAACCCAACCTAACCACACTTTTTCAAGTGACATTTTTCACAACCGTTACCGCCGATGGAATAAGAAATAAAACTAAAACTAGAAATATTAGGGTTATAACCTCAAAATTTCTAGTTTTAGTTTTATTTCTAACACAAAATGAGTTAAATAAATTTATTTTTAATGAAACGTCAAAAATGTCGCTTAAAAAAGACGCATAGGAGGTAGCGCCATCTGTACGCTTATAACGTAAATTATGTTGTCGGGTAAAGCAGAAAACTATTTCATTTATTATTTATTTTAATTATTTTTATTATTATTAAAATTAATTTTACTTATTTATTAAACCTCACTTTTCCAATTAAATTAAACCTCACTTTTTCAATTAAATCAAACCTCACTTTTCCAAGTGACATATTTGACGTTTCATTAAAAAGAAAATTATTTTACTCACTCAGTGTATCCTCGAAGATTTTCTTTCATATTAGAAACAACCACAAAAAGTAAACTCACAAGATACGAAATATCCATTCAACCCAACCTAACCTCACTTTTTTAATTGTCATTTTTCACAACCGTTATTGCCGATGGAATAAGAAATAAAACTAAAGCTAGAAATTTTAGGGTATAACCTCAAAATTTCTAGTTTTAGTTTTATTTCTAACACAAAATAAATTTTTAAAACGATCGCGGACGAAATTAGCGTGCGCTCCTCGTCACGTTCGAAATCACACTAAAATCTACCAGTTCGCTTGTTTATTGCAAGAACGCTTTAAATAACGCCTTCTGATTGGTTCAATTCTATAACTTGAAATTCGTAATTTAAAATTCTCCGGTAAAGCCAACTTCGAAATGTCAAATGTCACCAATTAAATTAAATATCAAAACTTATAAAAATTTCTATTTTAAGAATATTTATGTATGAAATGTTGTAGTTTTGTTGCTTTAACTTTGTTTGTGCTGATTTAAGAACATTTTTTTTTTAATTTCATCGTCCGGCTTCAAAATTACATTCAAATATTTAATTTACGGATTTTCGTCCAATTCTTCATCAAAATTATCATACAATGGATGGTTTTTGTTCTTGACATGCTAAGATTATCGTTTAAAATGCTTTCAACCGAACCAAACATGAATTATAATAAGAAATTAATAAAAAATGAAATTTGGGGTTATGTCACTGTCAAAATTCTACGAAATTACTTCGTATTGACTTTACACGGATTAAATACAATAAAAAACGTAAACGGCCAACAATACTTAATGAATTTTATCATATTTACAACATTTTATTAATATAAAAACAAATTTCTATAATTATTATTCGTAACCTCAGCTGTGATTAATACGATTATGCAAAACTTCAAAAAATAATGAACGACTTGGTGGAACGACAAATTTAATGTGTAAAGTGTCATATTTTTGGCAGTTAATGTCATATTTTGACGTTTGACAGCTTTGTTGATTTTTAACCTAACAAATTTTCGTTTCTAACCAATTGCATCATAAAGGAAATTAACAATCCTTTAAAATGAATCCAAACTCAACATATTTACGAAAATATTGAAATTACGTCAAAAAAAACAAAATGGCGGGTTTTTTGTTGAATTCTTAACCTAACATTTTATTTTTTAACCTAAATAGGTCATGTTTGGTATCAAATTAAAAGATTTTTAATTCTTATTACGATCATTTTAACTTTTATCACAAAAAATAATTAAATTCGATTTTGACATCTGACAGATTAGAATTGAAATTTTCATTTTTATTGATGATAATATTAGAATCGTAATCTACATTAAAAACTCTTTAATTTGATACCAAACACGACATATTTACATAATAAATTAAATAAGTTAGGTTAAAATCAACAATGACATCCGCCATCTTGAATTCTTTTATGACAAAAATTAGTTGTATTTCGGTTAATTTTTTAGATAACCCCATCGAGTTTAGGCTCATTTTAAAGCATTTTTGATTTACTTCACGATTTTGAATGAATGAATTCCTTTTAAAAGTATTTATAAAATTGAAAATTTTATTTTAATTGATGATAACATCAAATTCGTAATCTATATTAAAATCCATTTAATTTGATACCAAACACGCCCTATTTAGAACAAAAAAAAAAAAAAGTTAGGTTAAAATCAGCAATGACTTCCGCCATCTTGAATTTTTTTATGACAAAAATTAGCTGTATTTCGGTTAATTTTTTAGATAACCCCATCGAGTTTAGGCTCATTTTAAAGCATTTTTGATTTACTTCACGATTTTGAATGAATGAATTCCTTTTAAAAGTATTTATAAAATTGAAAATTTTATTTTAATTGATGATAACATCAAATTCGTAATCTATATTAAAATCCATTTAATTTGATACCAAACACGCCCTATTTAGAACAAAAAATAAAAAAGTTAGGTTAAAATTAGCAATGATATCCGCCATCTTGAATTCTTTTATGACAAAAATTAGTTGTATTTCGGTTAATTTTTTAGATAACCCCATCGAGTTTGGGCTCATTTTAAAGCATTTTTGATTTACTTCACGATTTTGAATGAATCAATTCCTTTTAAAAGTATTTATAAAATTGAAAATTTTATTTTAATTGATGATAACATCAAATTCGTAATCTATATTAAAATCCCTTTAATTTGATACCCAACAAGCCATATTTACAACAAAAAATAACGAAAAGTTAGGTTAAAGCCAACAAAGACGTCCGCCATCTTGAATTTTTTTAAGATAAATATTAGTTGTATCTCGGTTAATTTTTTAGATAACCCCATCGAGTTTGGGCTCATTTTAAAGCATTTTTAATTATCTTTATGATTCTAAACGTAAAAAAAAATTTATTGATCACAGTATAATATATATAACCATTGCCTCAGGCGTATTCCTTGGCTCATATTTCAGCATTTTACACTTCACTTTAATCGAATAGTGAACGAATCACATTTAAGTATTGCGGCGACATTCAAAAAAGACGTCAAATACGATTGAAATCGATGTTAAACTTAAAATTCTTATTAAAATCAACAAAGAAATTCAATTCCGAACATTTTGATACCAAACACGACTATGTTACGATTAAAAACGCCAAAGTTGTCATTTTTTTTAATTATAAACATAACCTCATTAAAATTAAAAAATCGAATAACTTGAGAAATATTTAAGTTAAATATGTCGAGTTTGGTATCAAAATGAGCCTTTTTTAATTTTCTAATAGAATCGCGAAAATAATTTGTTAAAAAAATTAAATTTAATTTTGAGCTGTCAAAAAGATTTTTATCTTAGGGTTATAAAATGAACAACTTACTCTTTTTCGGGATCGTACTCGGGATGTTCTTGCGGATTGCCAATTCTTAGGTTACGCCTGATGTCGCTGGTGATATTGGCCTTTCTACTCTGCGACAACGATCCGGGGAGCAAAATGGCAATTTCTGTAACAAAACACAATTTCAGAGCGAATTTCATGGCTTCCACTGCTTCGACCCGACAAGAAAACCTACAACAACATCTCCCACTATTTTACTACTGCCACTCAACTCAACTATTTTAAAACGAGAAAAAATGTTTTGCGCATAAAATAAGTGCTTCCGGTTTATTCGCGACTGTAATAGCTAAAGAACGAGAAGAAAAAAAAAACCAACCCCTTTTTTCAACTTTACATTCTCTCCTGATCCTCTCGAGCCTCTTGCTCTTCACCTCGTCGCGCGTAAACTGAAAGCACTAGGAAAAAAAAATCGAAAACAAAGCGGAGAGCCCTCACAATAAAAAGAAAAAAAATACTTCATCGTCACCTTCTTCTTGGTTGGCCCCATTTCAATTTCACCCTTTAGATATGTATTTTTTTTTAATTACGAGATAATTTGTTTAAAATTAAACAAATTGTAATTTTATGAGTTAAAGTGTCGATTAACGCTTAATTAACGTTATGTTAATCATCGATTAAGACTTGATTAAATTTTGAAAAAGTAGAAAAAGGTTGTTGGTGTGTGTCAAAATGCTTTTAATCGACAAGAAACATCTCGAGGATACTTGATAAGAAGAAAATATGATTTTCCATCGACTTTTAAAGTTAAATGGGATTCTAATTTCGAATGAAAACCAAATTGAGACTTTAAAGTTTCTACTTTAATTTTAATCTTATGATCATTGAAAAGAAAATGAAAAATCCTTTAAAATGATACCAAACTCGATGGGGTTATCTTCAAAAATAAAGGAGTTATGACACTTTTTGTTATGACAGAAACTAAAAACAATCGAAGATCGTTTTCTTTAAAATGCTATATCTCGCTTATTTATTAAGATAATAAGGTGGTGTTTGGACTTAAATTAATCAAAATTTTGTGTAGATTTCATTTTTTCAATAATAAATTTATTTTTTTTATATCATCGAAGAACTGTCAAAAATGAAATGTCAAAAAATTTGATTTAATTTAAAATCGAATAAATCACGGGGAATCTTTAACTTTTCATAATCAAAATCGACTTTTATAGTTAAATGGGATTCTAATTTCGATAAAAACCCAAAATGGGACTTTAAAGTTTATACTTTAATTTTAATCTTATGATCATTAAAAAGAAAATGAAAAATCCTTTAAAATGACACCAAACTCGATGGGGTTATCTTCAAAAATAAAGGAGTTATGACACTTTTTGTAATGACAGAAACTAAAAACAATTGAAGATCGTTTTCTTTAAAATGCTATATCTCGCTTATTTATTAAGATAATAAGGTGGTGTTTGGGCTTAAATTAATCAAAATTTTGTGTAGATTTTATTTTTTCAATAATAATTTATTTTTTTTTAATATCGTCGAAGAACTGTCAAAAATGAAATGTCAAAAAATTTGATTTAATTTTAAATCGAATAAATCATCATGAAAAATCCTTTAAAATGACACCAAACTCGATGGGGTTATCTTCAAAAATAAAGGAGTTATGACACTTTTTCTACAATACAAACAATGGACGATCGTTTTCTTTAAACGCCCGTAACTTTTTTGTTTTTTAAGATAACCCCATCATGTTTGGACTCAAATAAAAGGAAATTTTATGAGGATTTCGATTTTATTAGTTTAAATGTCAAAAATGAACTGTCAACAAATTAAAGTGTGTAAACTATGTCGTGTGGGGTATCAACTCGAAGAAATTGGGGTCAATCTCTACGATTTTATCGTAAAATTGATGTTTTCGCGCACTTGAACTTATAATAACTGATAGCTTAATACCGTGAATTAGAATTTAGTCTGAAATCATTTATGTTGGAAAAAGTCAACTTTTTTTACTTTATGAACATTGAACATTAAATCAATAATTAATGTGATGCAATCACCGCACATTTCCTCATATCGTCGAATTATGAAAACGAATCGGTGATATTTTCCCGTTTATTTCAAAATGTTCAAAACGCTCGTTTGTTCATTGCAGAGAGAATTCAGCTTTTCAAAAAATTCGTGTAAATATGCCGGTTTAATTAAAAAATCAGCATCAGCAATTTTTTCTTTCCAATTTGCGATTGCTATATTAAAAAAAATATATATCTTGGAATTATGAAGCTTGGAATTATTTTTTTTAAATGA